GTTCTGAAATTTGATAGTGTTGATGGATACACAGTCTTATGATTTAAGAAGCACTGAATAATACACTTTAAAGGAGGAAATGTTATGGTTTATGAATTGTAACTAAGTAATGCCTTTGAAAAGGAAAAATAATTAAGTTGGGATTAGCTACCTGCAAGCCAGTATTCATTTCCTCACTCATTCATTTACCAAATCTTCATGGAACATCCTTTGAGCCAGGACTATGTTAGGTGCTGGACATAAGAGCATCTTGAAAAGATCGGCTGACTTCAGCATAGAGATCAGAGTAGAAGGGCACCAGAAGTCATATGGACAGTTGACAAAATTGAGAGCTAGCCAATACAAAGAAACCCATCTTGCCTTAGTGAAAAGCCATTTCTTTACATAATTTTCACCATAAATACACAAACCAAAAGAAGGAAACAAGCTCTTCCTAAGCAATTTTGTGATTCAGAAAAAACTCTGAGGTTTCTTAGAGGCTTCAGAAAAGAGCTTCATAATCATAAAAACCAATGACTTGAGCATTAATTTTACTTTTGAAATCTAATAAAAAGCATCCCATACACCCACCTTTGCCAGGAGTTTGACATGGGAAGTGAAGCTAGAAGTAGTCTGCAAGATTGAACCTTCATTCTTCAGACGTCTTTGACAAAAAACATCATATAAAGGTTGGCCAAGGGTCTGAGGCCAGCTTGGACAGGAGCGGCATGTGGGAGCACCACCCGCTCCTGCAGGAGCCCTCCTTGTCCCTTCCAGCTGCATTTGCTCCAGGTATACTCTCCAGATTCTAAGAGCTGTGGCACAGGACAGTTAAAGCTTTGCACCCAGTCTTTGTCTCATAGGCTAGTGCTTCTTCAGGGAGAAGGCAAGTTTAGCTAATGTGATAAGACTCTCCTAGATGCTGTGAGAGGGACCAGGTTTGGGGTTTTTGATTACCTAGGAGCTTCGCCGTCCTCTTAACCTCTCTTATCATGGTCTTTGAAGTTACCCTATAGTCCTCAGGATATATTTATCATCCTTCCCAATATAAACTGCTCATTAACATTTATAAGAAAAGCCAAATCAAGTGTTCTCATACTGATCCTAACAGAGTTGAACAATCTTGTTGAAAGTTTAATGCCTTTCCAAATAACTTGGGTGGATTCTCATATTAATATTTCCATGAGAATTACTCCTAATGATGAACACTTATGTTGAAAGTAACTCCACCACACATCAACAAAACAAGATTTTCTGCTTGAGTTGATGCCTCCTGGCTCCAAAAAAAAAAATCTAATAAAAAACATACCATACACTCACCTTTGCCAGGAGTCTGACATGGGAAGTTAAGCTAGAAGTAGTCTGCGAGATTGAACCTTCATTCTTCAGACATCTTTGACAAAAAACATCGTATAAAGGATGGCCAACAGGAAGTAATCCCAAACTGAACTCTCCCAGCTTAAAGGAAAATAAAATATTAAAAAATGATAATTGTTGAATGAATACATGGAAGTAATTTATTTTTCTTCTTTAAATGTGCTTATGGGTTGTCAGTCTTGAGTCAGCATATCTCTGAAGATGGATGCTGTAATATCTTCAGATTTAATGTTCTGTGCTCGACCAGAAGCTATGAAGCCTCCACTGGCCTTGCTGCTCCTCTGAAGGATCTGGGGGCACTTTGTTGAGGAGTCCTGCACCCTCCTCATTAGCTAGTCCTCCTACACTTCATGCAGAAGGCTCCCAGGATGGGTGTCCAGTGGAAGGGCTCAGCTTTGGGTCAAGCAGACTCGGGACTTACATAATTCTGACTTCCCAGGTTTCTGAGGAAACTGCATTTAGGAAGCAACTAAAAGAGAAGATCCTGGGTAACAGTTTAAAAGATGCCAACTTGACAGCATTCTTCTTTAACGCCACTTCAAGTTTTCAAGTGGGAGTGAAAATTCACTAGATTTCTACTAGGCAAAGCTTGGAGGCAGTCATTTGGTTGGAAGGATGGGGGCAAGCAGAAGACTTTTCTTGAAGTTGTGTCCAGGCAGGTTCATAGATTTGGAGTGTCTGGGCTGACTAAGGGGCTGCTGAGCTGAGAGGGTGGGGAAGCCCTCTCCTCCCTCCTCCAGCTGTCCCTCAGGGCATCTGGAGGGACAGACGGAAGCAGGACTGGAAGCTACTCTAACAAAAGCCAGAGGAATGGCTACGAGGTCCCACCCACCAAGAAACAGACCAAGTTTATGCCGACTCTAGCAGAGGGGCAGAGTGCCAGTGCTAAGAGCTCACTCTGGCTCCTGCCCTTGCTTTGGCCCATCCTTTCAAAAATGTCCCAGCCAGTGCCCAAGTGTGGCTTCATTCTGAGATTTGAAGAGAAAGTATATCGTGAAAGACGAAGTCTCTCCAAACGGCTTGTCTGCACCCAGGCCCCAGCCCTGCCCAGGGCTGCTCTGAGCCAGCAGCGAAGTGGTTTCCCCATGGATGTAGTGACAGAGCTGAACAGGCTCAGACCTGGGATATTGGAAAAGAGACACCCTCTTTCCATGTTTGCTCAATCTTTGGGGGTGATTAGGATAGTGGTAGTTAGTCTGTGCGTCTACCCAGCAGATGGCAGCTGGACAATATGGAGGCCAACACCCCTGGCTTGGATAGAGCCCTTTGTTATGTTTTGTTTTGTTTTACAAGCACACCTTCCTTGTTTGATTTTTTTAAATGGATGATACCATTTTGAAAAAAAGAAAAAAAATCCTCTCTCTGTCTCTGCAACAATATGACTATTTTTCTCATTCCTCCAAAATACTGTTCCACTGAAAAACCAAAATCTAACAACGTACCTATACTGGTTTTTTCCTCTCATGTTTCATTGGTCCAGGGGAAAAAGAAAATTTCAGTCATCTTTGGAAATATGAGTATTTTCCCACAAAGTTTCTCAGTTATAACACTGTATAGGCTTTCTCTTTACCTGAGCTGCATAGTATTTTAGGAGTTCTTGCTTAAAACAGGCTTTCAAATTAATAGCAGGGCATTAAAACATCTTGTGGCTCAGAACCGGATGCTTATATTGTTGATCCTCATTATCAACTCCAAAGTTGTGAATTTGCCTACTTGCTAAAATTCATTTGAAAAGCCAAATTCAGTACTTGAGGCACTTCCAATTATTGTGCACATGGCCAAAATCCCTGCTTCAGCTCAACAAATGTCCTTTTCATGGTCTATTTAGTACCACAGCTTTTGTATTTTTGTGCTTTCTATTGGTGATTTTGCTGTTCAGAATGGTCCCAAACATTGTGCTGAAGTGCTGTCTAGTGCTAAGTATAAGAAGGCCATAGTGTGCCTTATAGAGAACATATGTGCTGTAGATAAGCATCATTTAGGCACTAGTTATAGTGCTATTAGTGTGAATTCAATGTTAAGGAATCAATATGATAGATTAAATAAAGTGTTTGTAAATGGAATGTGCATGAAGCACAGTTACATGTAGATGGGTTGCTCAATATGACCAGAAGCTTGCAGGAAGCGAACCTGTATTTCCCCTAGGAGGCGGGGTTCAGCACTTGCTAATTCAGTGTTTGCAGTGACTTTATAGAACACAACTGCCATGGATATTGAGAATTGACTGTACCAGTTTTTACATGTTGGAAGGGACAATCAGCATAGGGCATGAGAACCAACCCAGGGGGGTCAAGGTCCACCTGGCTGCAGAGGCCAGTTCAGGCGAGCCAGTCCAGGTGAGCCAGTCCAGGCGGGCCACCAAGGGCAACTAGTGAGGACTTTGCAGGATGGCCCACTGGACTGGAGTACGGTCTTGTGGGTTGTGTCAGTTTGGAAAAGTGTGTGCATGTGATGGGTAGGGAAGGGAGGCAGAGGGCCATGAATGTGAGGAATGCAGCTACTTGGAGACAATTTTAGTACTCAAGAGCTATACTCCTCTGGCCTGCACACCTGGTTTGGGGGAGGAATCAGGAGTGGGTGGGATAATGCCTAAGCAGTCTTGACTGGGTGGGTAAATTAATTCTTGGTTAAATCTCAGGTACAATATCTCCTCCACCCATTATTTTTGGGGGGAGCTACCTTGCAGATCTCCAACAGAGTGCTAGAGACCTAGAGTAAAAAAATGTTTCTGAAAAATCCAGTTCCACTTTACATTTGATAGGAAATGTGATCAAACTGGCTGTTCATTGTCAAATTAATAGAGAGTCTGTCTCTTCTTTCACCTCAGCTGCTACTATTCATGGAGGCCTCTTTTCCTCTCATATTAGGACACTAATCCCAGTGCAGTTCCAAAACTCCCGATCCTGACACACAATTCAAAATATCCCAAGCCAGTGGTTCTTCACGTTGGCTGCACATTAAAAGCATCTGGGGAGCTTTAAAAGATCCCAATGTCAGACCTTCCATTTAACATCAATCAAACCAGAATTTCTGAGGCATGGAACCTAAGCATGGGTATTTAAAAAATGTCCTAGGTGATTCTAATATATAGGCCCAAAGTGACTAAGGAATGCCTGGTACAGTTTTCTCAACCCTGGCTTCAATTAGAATCACTGAAGGATTTAAAAGAATTCCCAGGTTAATTGAGTCAGAATCTCCTGGAGGTAGAGAGAGCATGGGTATTGGTATATATTTTTTAAAGTTCTTGAGAATCCTTGGCTTAGTGGGATTCCATCGTTATCATGTATCTGGAATTTTGAAATAAAATCTGTTGGAGAAAAGCAAAAAAGAGTGGAGAAAAAGTTGGTGAGAAATATATGAATGTGGTGGAAGGTAAGGTCAAAGGTCCTGGATCCTCTGATTCTTGTAATCCGTTGAATCTTGACCTGGAGGTGAGGCAAGGGGGGATTCAGGGTAGCAGTGTGGTTGGGATGGCAGATCGAGGGCCGAATTATCACAGAAATCCATTCTGCTACCTGCAGATTGGCTGAGATTGGATCGGGACTCAGAGTGGGGGCCTCAGTGACCCCCGGGGTAGTGGTTCCTTCTCTTTAGGGCTCCCCTTCTCCCTTCTCTTGCACAGTAAGAGTCCGGCACCCGAGTTTAGAGAAGAGCCGTTCTTGGTGCGGACTGTCTTTCTGGGCTGGAACTCCCATCCTCCGACAGCCCACGAGCAACGCTGCTAAGGGCTTACTGCTGTCTCCTCCAGAGACCCGCCTTCTGCTACACGGCGCTCACCTGAGATGTTACATCCCCCACAACCCTCTCCACCCACCAACAGGACGGCCCACAGACAATGGCTGGCTGGCAGGGTGCCCGTGTTTGACTCCTTTACCTCAAGATGGGATGAATTCTGAATGGCAGTTCATGTTCCCTGTCAAATTAGGCTAAAGCTAGAGAAATTAAGGCTATATACTTGCTTTGAATTTTCCCATCCTGCTTGCTTCCCTCACTCCTCTTCTCCGGAGAGCGCTTCCCCTAAGAAATCTTTTATACAAGAATTCTTGTCTCAGGCTCTGCTTCCAGATAACCTGTCCTAAAATGAGTAGGGATTAGATAGTATGAGGGTGATGGGGAGGGAAGGACAAAGAATGTGAACTTGGCAGTTGGATGTATGTAGGTTTAGCCACAACTTCCTCACTTCCTACCTGCATGAATCCATCAAGTTACCTGGACTCTGGTTCTCTGTTTCCTTCTCTATGTAATGTGGGATGGCCACACATGCCTTGCAAAGATGTCACGATGACATTAAATGCAACAAGAGAGTGGATGTGAAAGTCCACAGTACGCAGTGGGAACTCAGTAACGCCACCTGCCTTTGCCTCCTGGAACTTTCACACCACCTCTCTCCAAACTTGGGTCTCCATTTTTCTCTTTCCCAAGCACTCACTAGAGTCTCTCCATTCTTTCTTTTTCTTCCCTTTTATATCTTCCTTTCATTATCTCCTTTCCCTATGGTTTCTGCTTCTCATTTTCTGTAGTGCTTTTCATTTTCTCCAGCCATGATAAATGAAGAAAGATGCACAGCAATACTCAGAAAGAAAGATCCTTGTCCTGTGGGTCACAGCCAGGGAAGCTGAAGTGAGGTTGTCAGTTTTTGTCAGCTCAGCAGAGTTAGGTTTTGTTCAGTTTTGTAAACAGGACTCAGGGGGATGTTTTGTGGCTTTTCCTGAAGTGGTGCTTAGCCAGTGAAGGATATGCTATTTTCCTTGATGAAATATAGATGAAAATAAAGACCATTAAAAGCCAATCACACTGGTGCTTGACATGAGAACCCTAATCTCCATCAATCTTCCTCCTCTGGGCCAAATGGTGGAACAGGAGGGAACTGATCCCCACAGCCTGGATGTGAGACAAGAGTTCACTGGCTTGGCCACGGACTGGCTGTGGGACTTAGGGAAGGTTGCATAACCTCCTTAGGGCCTGGTCTCTCCATCGCCAGAAAGGCTGTACAGCAAAACATGTGCCAACTGCTCCACACGGGACCTCCTAGAACTCGTAAAATATTATGTGGGAAGTACTGGAACTCTGTGT